AATATCAGCCTGGTTTCTTTACCCTTCAGCAGATGCTTATGCACAGTATGCTCGCAAATATATACATGTGTGTGTCTACAAACATAAGCCAGAGTCTTGCTGCATGGGATTTTCCTTGGAGTCCTTCTGCTCCGCCACRCATGGGAAGCCAAACCCCATTTCCTCTCTCTATGAAGTGTTATCTCTGGGTTGTTCACGTGAGGTAACTGAAACTTTTTGTGGTATTGCCATGGTAGTTGGTGGGGAAGGGGGACTGAGTGAGAAACATAACAGAGATATTTTACAGAAGTATGGGCTTTCTGTTTGTTTGGATTTTTTTTTTTTTTATTTTAAACACTAGGTTCTTCTTGTGTTCCTCAAGCAAAGCTTGCTCTTTACTCAATCCTGTAATTTTCTTCTTTTTTATTCAGATTTTGATCTCATGATTTGAGATGTTTGACTCCATTGTTGGTAAAAACTGCTTCAAAGTCATTGAAATTTGAATGGATCTAATGGATACTGTCCATTTGGTTTGCAAACAAGGAAAAGGTCCAAGAGTCTAGCATCTCAGAGCATGAACCTTCCCTTCCTTATCCTRGGAGATACTCTGCAATGTAACCAGGACTGCTGATATCCATCACCAAGAAGCATCAAGACACTTGCAGGCATTTCCTCATGGAGATCTACTTACTTGGGATGTGTGCTGAGGGAAAGGGTTTGTGTTTTAATTTACTCAGAAGCAACAGCACAAAGGCATGGCAGAGCCTTCAAGGAAATGAACCAGAATCTTGAATTCACATCACAGACCTGGAGCAATGATCTTATGGAATGATCCAGTAAAAACCAAGTACTTGGAGAAATAAGGTGCTAAGGTCTGCCTCAGGTTGTCTTTGTTTATTTTTAATTTCAGAMAAAATTGCCAAGATATCTTAAATCTGTAGTTAGAGGACCCTTATCAGAAATATTTGTGCCACATGGGGTGGGGCTTCTTTTTCCTGCCCTTAACAAATTCGTAGTTTGTATTCAAGATAGATGTTTTTGAAGATTTCGTCTCTCCTTTGACTTGCCTTCAGTCTTTCACAGCTTCTAATGCTGTAGATTGCATCCACTGRGCAACTGAACTTGCTTCTGGGAGAGGCAATAGTGAGAGAGGAGATTGAGCTGTTTCTACAAAAGCCTAACAGATTTTGCCCCAAATACTGTTATGTTTGTGAAGTGGTTTAAGTCAGATTTTTAAAATGAAGAGATGCTGCTGTTGAGATTATTTAGGCATTCCTAAATTCCTAACTTCTTCTTCTTGAGGAAGACCTTCTTGTACAAATCCATACATAGCTCTTTAGTGAAGCCATGAAGTGTTTGTTGACCTTTTCTTTGGATGTAGAAACTAGGGTACCTTATYTTGGATTCCAAGTGTGGTTTCATGATAAGGCAGGTAATATTGCTGTGGAGAACTAGATTTTCTTCTGCCACACAGCTTAGAACATGTGCTAAAATGAAGTATTCAGTCAGCACTGAATTATTAGTGGTGATTTGTCTGGGCTGGAGATTATGGTGTGTTGCATAGTTCTTGCAAAGCTAGATCTAAGCCAGATTCCCCTAGACAGATCTACCTGGAAAAGTCTCTGACAGAAATTTACAATTTCTTGGAAGTCTCGACACTGTGTTTGCAGGCCATCCAGTTTCCCTGTGAGGTGTCCTCACCCTCTGAGCTAGTGGTGAGTTGACTGTAAGTTGGCCAGCTTGTTTCTTCAAGCATGGTTTTATGTATGTATACACAACAACATAATAGTATCTTGAATTTTCACTGTGGTAAATCAAATCTAAGGTGCCAATACAATGAAGAGCCCAGTATTGAAGTCTGAACTGCTCTATCTGGAGCCCTTGTTCCACTTGGGATAGCAAGTGCTTTCTGCCTGCTAGTACAGTATGCAGAAAGGCTTGTGTGTGGAACACAGCTAGAAAAYTGCTTTCTTCCAGCCTGCTCGCCTGCTGCTTTTCTGATGCCTTCATTCTTTTCCTGAAACCTGAGTTCATGTCTTTTTTTCATGTTGTCAGTTGAGCCCATGAGCATTTGGTGGACACTTGCCTGCCAAAAGGGAAAAAAAGAGTTAGAAATAGCTGTCTTGGCAATGCTGTCAGCTTTCCTGGCTATCCTTGTGTTTAATTCAAATTTAAGTCAATGTGCTTTGAGCCCCTGCCTTGGGAGCAGGACAGCAGCTGACTTATCTTTTTTTTTTTTTTTTTTTTTAATTGAGGAGTAATGTCCTACTATAATTTTATAAGTTGCTTTCCCATACCATAGTGATTAGTCACTTTTATGGGAAGAACTCTTAGAATATCATGATGATGATGTCTGGAAACGTTTGAGCAGAAAAGGTGGTGTGTTTCTGTCACCATCTGCACRAAGAGCTGATAGCATTTTTGGTGGATCTAACATGTGCATGAGGGGAAAAGGGAGGTCACAGTCGGGGGACTTTGCAAAGTCACTTGGCTTTGGTCTTCCAYTAGTCTGCTTTCTGCTGACTGACTATTTCCAAATTTTAGAAATCAGTAGAAATGGAGGGAGGCTGTTAAATGCCCACCTAGCAGGTTACTTGTCACCTGCAAAGCCTGAACGGCAGGGAGATGCTAATCCTGCTTCCTCAGCGCACAGCAGGGAGGGCCCCCATCGCCGTGGGTGAATGTGACGATGTCTCCGTGCCGGTGGGGTGTGAYACGTGGGATACGGAGCTGCCCTTTTCACCCTGCCTGTGTTTGCAAAGCAGTAACTCTGGCTTTTTTAAACTTATCCCGAATGCTGCAGATGCTACTGCTATTTAAAAATCCATATTGAAGTAGAGAACACATTATTCCACCAGGCTGTCACTTCTCTGCAGTAAGAGAGAACATATGGGAGCAGGGTGGAAGTTCCCAGTTCCTCACTTGATGCCAGCTACAAAGCCAGACGTCACCTGTAGTAATGACATTTCGGAGGATGCTCTGCCACAGGCATTAGCCTTTTGTGCTTGSGTTAGTGCTCAAGAGCTGTTAATTTTTTGAAGCAAATGACAGGGTTAACAGGTGACTGTGATCAATAATGTTTCCTTGGTGTTGCTRTAGAAAAAAATGAAACAGAGTTGGGTAATGTGGTGCTGAATACTCAAGGATGTCTGGCCTGTTTTTAGCATAGCTAATTAATACAGTCCCAAACAATTCACTGGAAGAATAGACAAGAAATAATATTTAAAACAGCTGGTAGATTTTGTAAAACTGAAATAGGTCTTTAAATACGGACTTTGTGCAAAAGACACTTAAAATAATTCAGCGAGTTATTGCTGATAGGCGAGGTATATTTTTTCTGTTTTCTTTACAAATGCTTTTAGTGATGGATTGACTATAAATTGGTATATTACTGTAGCTTGTGTGTGGGAAGAAACTGTGCTGTTGTACTGTAGTGCAATCTGTCTGAGTGCCTCCCCTGCCCTTACAATGTGGCCAAACTTCATTTTGGTCCACGAGAAACTTCTCCTCATCAGGACAATTGCTATTTTGAGGCCACATAAGAATTTCTGGGGGGGGGTCTGTTGGCATACAGCCAAATCAGCTAGTGCATCTTGTATCATTACACTGTTAATTCTGCATACACGGTGTGTTTTCATTGTTAGCTTCATAAGAGTAGAGGAGAGCTGACACAGTACAGTTGTGGTTAGCTCCAATTTTAATCCTAGCAGGTGTGAATTTTGATGTACCCATATGATAATTCTGCAACAGATTCTCTGGAAAATGATTCCTGGACTTGAAAACATAGCATATGGAAACTCTTCTGGCATTTCAGAGGCAGCTTTTGTCCTAACCTCTCACCTTGAATATTGCCTGTATTTAGATTGTCTGTTCTGTATGTAAGGCATGTATTCAAGGAATGCTGGCTGATTTTTACCAGATGTTTTCTGGAAATGGTTGTGAAGGATGAAATCAGACATAGTTTTTGATAGTTATTCTTGTGGATAATTGTGCTTGGTTTATTCTGAATGTAATTGCAGAAGCTGAGTTGTGCATCAGATCAGAGAAGCAAAATGTAATCACATTCGGTGGAAATATGCTCCTGGTTGGTAGAGAGCTGAGGAAGTGAGAGGGAAAAATTCAGAGAAAATCAAATATTTGCAGAATGGTTGAGGTTGGAAGGGGCCTCTGGAGATCATCTAGTCCATCTGTGCATGTGGCACAGGGCGGCATCCAGGCGGGTTTGGAAGACCCCCAGAGAAGGAGACTCCACCATCTCCCTGGGCAGCCTGTGCCAGGGCTCTGTCACCCTCACAGGAAAGAAGTTAATGCTACCATATGAAAAAAAAMCCACCCAATAAAATATTTATTCTGATATTAATAAGATTAATTTGTGTATTGCATGTTGTCTTAGTTTGTGTAGCAATTTTATGGTATAGTTGCAGAGAATATTTCAACTGTGAAGTGAAAACTGATTTGGCTGATAAAGAATTTYGAGTCTTCAGTGAGGCTATATTCTAAAGTATCTGTAATTAATAGCTGTACACATGCATAATACATGCTTCCTTTTAAGCTGAAAACTATCATTCAGTTCTCTGATGCTGTCATCTTGAGATTTATTTTCTAAATCATTAAACCATCATAATCTAGGCACCATAAAAACTATAATTAGAAGCCAGTGTTTCAATGTGAATTATATGAGTAGTATAAGATATTCATTCTTATTTTCATCCCATTTCTCCTAGGCATTACTTGTATCATATTGATGGTGATATAGTTCTTAAAGTTATAAAATGTTACTGAATTCAAATAATTTTATCTTCAGGACATTAGAATTCAATGCAATTTACCTTTGGTGAATTTTCATATCAGTCAAATAACAGAGGKGGTTAAATAAAATTGAGTGTGTAGGTCCAAATTTGTGTGTATGTGGAAAAATCTCCTTATTTTCAATTAGTTTTGCCTACTCCTAAGTAGAAGGATATTTACTGTTGTAATCATAAAGATATTAACACATTTTTTCATCTGAYTTTTTTTTTTAGCACACTGATTTATGTCAGTACATGGACAAACACCCTGGAGGGCTTCATCCAGAAAATGTGAAGGTAAGAGTCAAAAAGAGGGCACATTCAGGACAAATGCAGTAGTGATAAACTTGCCCAGAAAGTTGTGTGAATGATTTGCTTGGAACTTTTTTGATCATTAGCTAAAAGAAAAATGATTGGCAGATGAGCTAATTTTATTTTRAAATCAAGACACAAATATTTGAGCATTCTTACAAAGGAACTTGTGAAGTGTATCAAATTGAAAGTAGGTCAGAATAAATCATAAATACTGTTTTAGTGTTGGTAACTCCTTCCCTCCACTCCAACGTTTAATGTCTTCACACCCCCTAAGTGAACATATTTTAGGCTGTCAGCACAAGATCTTCAGGGAGGTGAAATAGTGCAGGTTCATGGGCTTTGAGGAAGCTCTTATGAATTCTCTTAGCTGAATGAGCTGCTTTATTGTATGAGGCAACATATAAAATCTTTCCCAGCCTTTCTGCTTCCTTATTTTTTTACCTTTTTTTTTTTTTTTTTTTTTTTTTTGTTTTAAAGTAGATGCTAAGAACCATCATGCACTAAAGGGGGTTTATTATTTGCAGAGTTTAATAGAAAAGTATTTGACTGTTAGAAACTTGATCCAGTTACTTTCTGGGAAGTCAGCCAAATTATTTTAGCATAAAATGGAAGCCAATCAGACATGCAGAATGTGTCTTGTGTGTATAGACCACCCAGATGATATTTGTTACACTTGTCTTGCACTTTGACACCATTCCCAGTGTTGTTCTGCTTTGGAAGTGTTTAAATCCCCACTTGTCAAGCTGAGAAGTTCATTCCAGCCTTTAGTTGCAGGAAGACAGAAATTGAGAAGTTCATGGGAAAAAGAAAAAAGCATTTGTTACCAGGAAAACTGAAAAGCTTTGTCTGATTTAGAGGGGGGGGAAAAGGAAATAATTTAATTTTATGTAACAGGCAATAGTTATTGTACCTCGTYATATAGACTTCCTCATGAGGTCAAAAAGGGAGCAAGGATGGGTGTCCAGATGGGACAGGTCTGGAGCGGGGTCTCCTCCCAGGACCTGTGGGTGCCTCCTCATGGAGCTGCTGCAYGTGTGAGGGTGAAGGTCCCGAGGAGCAGGCAGTGCCACGCTCGGTCCCTGAGCCTTTTGTGCTTTCTTCACCACTTGCTATTATAAATAGAGTTTCCTAGGCTGAGTTTTTAAAGTAGTGGCTCTAGGTTTCATTTCCCTCTGTGGAAACTCTTTTGTCTCCCAGAGGTGTGCGGTAAGCTAAGGTTGGATGTGGGATCTCGGGTACGTGAGACTGCACCAGGGTTGCAGCGCTGGGCCAGTTAGGCACAGTGGTCACTGTGGCTGTAACTTTTCCTCACCAAGAGGACATCAAAATTCACATAACGAGACGTTTTCTTGTTCATATTGGGGCTCTATGAGCTTGTCTTTGAGGAGGAGATTTGTACATAGACAAAGTGCCTTGCTAATGCATCGCTCCCTAAATCCTGAGCTAACTGACTCTGCAACAGATTTCCTGCAGGAGCCACATGTAATTACAGAGGCAGAGGGAAAGTTTAGCAGGAAGGCTTTGCTATTAAGCCAGTGAGCTGCTTTGCAGGCACCTTTTGAGTGTTGAGCAGTGGAATTGTAGAGGGAACTGCAACAGCAGCAGCTTCCTTTCAGATGTTGCTACATGGATTTCTGTGGTTATCCTTACCAYCTAACAGCAGTGATCAACAACACTTCAGAAGCTTATGGACACATTAAAAGCACTTCTTTGATTATCTAAATGTACTACAGAACTGAGGTAATGCCAGTTTCAGCTTTTTTAGTGTCCAAGTGGATTCTTAATAAAAAGGGAATTGGAAAACAAAGGAAAAATGCTAATCAGAGCAGACAAAGTTGCTTTTTTGCAGTGAGTCCATTGGACAATTAAAATTATTTTTTCTCTTTAATAATAATAATAATAATAGTGAAAGTGGATCATATATATGTTTAATAGAACCTCTTGGCAGGCCAGCATAAAGGGTTAGCTTTAATTTTTAATGGTCCTTATTAAAACTGAATGTGCTGTTTTGAGCTCCCACCATTCCCRAACTGAAAAGTCCGGGATTGCTGGTGAAATACTCACCTGTTCTCAAGCTATGGGGGAGASTGTTTGCTTAGCCAAGCAGAGTGTTTTCTTCATAGAGAGCTCAAGAAGTATGGAGAGAAGGGAACACACCAGTATACACACTGTCTCCCAGACCGTCACCAACATGTGAAACCAAAAGTTTCCATTCTTTTCTTGCAGAGGAAATTGGTGGTTACCACCTGCTCTCGTAATGTTCTGTTGCACCAAGTCTGTCGGCAAAAGAAGTTGTGGTTCTGAGGCTTTGCCACATATTTTAGCTCTAGCTCCTGGACAGAGATGACTTTTTGAGCTGCAGCTGATTTTTAAAGGTTGAACTGACCCATATTAATTAGTTCTCTCCCTGCCAGCCCCTTGTTGTTACATGTCCTTCAGGAGTTTCCGTTTTAGTCAGACTTGTAGATTTTGTGCGTTGAGAATCRCTGCTTATGTGGCTGCATCCCCAAATCCATTTTACGACTTTGGGATGAGTGGTTAAACTCCATCGGTAATAAATTGGTCCTGGTTCTCTGGGACCTATGGGACCAAACTCTTGGACCTATGGGACCAAGCTATTGCAGTTTGCACAGTGACAAAAGCCCCCTACCATTTAATTTTGTTCTGAGAAAAGTACAGCTGATTGGTGGATATTCCTTACTGGCTTGTTGCCAATTATTATAAATACAAAAACACACAATCACACATTTCTCTTTCCAAAGGATATTGTACAAATAGCTCCTGTAAAACAGTGCTTTATAGGCATGCAGAAGCAAAGTCATTATTTACTTATGTTTGGTTTCCATGGGACATCTCCAGTCTAATTATATTTCTGAATTTTCTCCTTATTTACAAGCTGAAGACTCTTCCCTCTGGTTTACCTTTAAATGAAGAAGAATTATAAACAGAATAAAATTCAAATTACTTTGACGGGCACGCATCCTGCTCTCCCCTTGGGCGTTGTGTTTGACGTTGCCTTTTTTTGTGGTTTCAAATAGGCTATGTATTGTTGCTTACATTTTTAAAATATAGAGTAAGCAGCTTGTAAGTATGTGAAAATATAAAGAAGACTGTCTCAGTGTGCAGTTGTAAGAGTCTTGGGACAGTGTGTTTAGCTAAACAAACAAAAATCTTTCCTAAAGCATGAGGTTTGTCATTTTTAGTGGTGTTTTTGCATTCGCATGTAGTGACTTCAGAATTTTCCACTTCCTGTGCAGAGACGCAAGTCTCAGAAAAAGCTTCAGGCTTTAAACCTTTCAAAGAACTTGTGTGTGAGGCTGAGATGTTATCTGGTGTTGTTTTTAGTATACGTATCCTGAGAAGGTTAAACTGAGAGACCTGGTGAAATACATCYGCTTGGTGTCTTAGGTAACATCCTCTTAGCTGGAAGGTAATGACACAGCATAGTTGTTCCAATCCCTAGATTCAAAACTGTACAATCAACACAAGATTCAAACCCTGTTAGCTCCAAGTAGAGGATATACAGCTTTTTTCGTTAATGAGTCTGTCTATCTACCAGTTGTTTATAGGTATATACTGTGTATAGTACTGGAGATTAGGATAAAGGAAGGTAATAAATAAGTCCCTGTTTAGTAGGGRCAACCTCACCTTTCCTTGTGTCTAGTTTTAAAGATGTCTGTTTCAATTTTTCCATAGCTGAAGGCAAGCAGTAGATCTAAAGAGTTTGGCCCCATCTATATGTTCTACCCTATCGGGCTTCTGGTGGAATCTACTGCTACAGCCTTATGCAGAGACTAAGTAGGGGGCTGTCTTATAGGTGGATACCACGTGGAGCTTGCCATGCTCCAAAGCGTGGCTGTGGCAAGCCAAGGGATCGGKTGTGCAGGTCCTGCTCTATCCTCTGCTGCACTTGCTCCTGGTTGTCCTTACGCTGTTCCCCCTGGCCCAAAGTACTGGAATCTGTGCTCCAAGCCTTTTCTCCTGCAGCTGCTGCTGCCTGTAGAGATAATCCGTATTTCCTGGACTTCTRCTTGAAACATCTGGATTGCTTCCTGCAGCAGAAACTACTGGTCACAGCAGCGAGCTCTGCCAGAGGATTTTCATGGTGATATTCCTGTTTATTTGTCCTTCTCTGTCTGGTAGAGGGTCACCTCTCCTAGGCTTKTCCTCTTGGATAACATCTGAGCCTCTGCTTGCAGCTGTCTGTAAACAGTTCTTGTTGTGTAAATCCCTCATTTAGTTTTTTGATACCTTCTTATTTTTCAGTATTTGTGGAAATCTCTCACACTTCCAAAACCATATTCTTAACTTTAAATTTTTTTTTGAAATAATCTCTCTATTTTAGCTGTATTTTTACTTCACTTTAATACACTTCCAGTCACATTTTGTTTTTATCTGCAAGTAAAACCATCTTTCTGTCTTGCTGAGATTTTTTTTCCCATAGCTGAGTCCATTTTCTGCAGCTGCTATTACTGGTAGAACAAGTARAGCCCAGGCTTGCATCTGTCACAGCTGCGCTGCTTGTTTATGTTCCTATCTTAAAATTAACTGTATTAATGAAAGCTGATTGGCTCTTTRATTAGTGATGGTGCATTGAAATACTTGCACGCTTTTGGGAAAAGCATCCTTGCAGTTTTYTGTATGTCTCTTCCCTCTCCCTGCAGTGTTATTGGTAATATCAGTTTGCGTGAACAGTTGAGTTCAAGAAACATCTTTGACTAAATAACAATACCACTTGTCTGCGTTCCAGAGTTCCTCAGTTAGTACAACACCAGGCTGGGTGACAAGAAGGTTGTCAAGCAGAAAAGTGAAAACTACCTCTGTCCTCTCAAATGACTCTCTGCAGGTCGCCTTCAGGCAACGGGGAAGCCTCCTATCTTCTACTGTTGCCAGAGGGAAGAGTCACTTCTAGCTTGTTCTTTCTTTTTCCATCTAATGTTATTGTTCTGGTTTCCTCTTCCTTGAGTGCCTCTTCTCAAGGC